ACTATAGTGGCCATTTTTTGTTTAACATAGTCTTTAATCACCCTTTATGGCTGCAATTTGTAATCTAATTCGGGATGAATCTATCTATAGATAATACATTTAAAAGATAGAATTATTGAAAATTTTGTCATGTGTTATCTACTAAGCAAACATTCATTATAATATTTTAGATTCCTTTTTCAAATTCGTATCATCATATACATTAAGTTAGATTAGAACTCTACTTTGCATTTATGTTACACTAATTTAAAAGTACAACTCGTGTAATTAAAAAAAAATCATGACACATTCTATACATTTACATTACTTTATATTAAATTTAAAATTTCAAATATACAATTATAAATTATGAAAAGTGGTGTTGTATTCAATTAAAATTCAAAAAAGTTCTATACATTATTTATATAAAATTTTCTTGATGTCCATACTTTAAATATCTACTAGACAAGTTCAGACCAAATCATACATAAACAAATCATGCCAAATCATATCAGAAAATTATGAATTATGAATTATGGAAGGTTTTGTTGTGTTCGATTAGAATTCAAAAAAGTTTTCTACATTATTTATGTAAAATTTTCTCAATGTCCATTGATTAGATATCTATTAGACCTGACCAGTTCAAACCAAATTAAATTTAAATAGATCAGGCCAGAGAAAAAAATTACAATCGGATTAAAACATCCAATTCAACAAAGCTCTATACACCTCTCAATTAGAACAAGTACAAGGGAAGTCTATTATAGCAATTACTTCTATAATCGCTTTCATTTTTAGATGTCTCAACCAAAGGTTCATGTTTTGTTTTTGAGGAAATAATTATCACTCTTAAATGATAATTTAATTTGATTAAAAATAATAAATTTATAACATCACGATTATCATCAATGACTTCATTATATTATATATTCATCAGAAGTATTTCTCCTACTTATATAAAGGGCACTTGAACGCCGTCCCAAATTTTCTGCCTATTTTCCGTTAAACAGCTTTCCGTCTCCTCTGTTCTTCACGGCCGTCAGGTATTTCGTTTCCCTGTTTTGCAATTAAATACTACGTACTACGCATCTTCCATCACAAATCGTTCCATTGCAACCCCATCCCCAACTTACTGTTCTCTTTGTCAGCCGCAATGTTGGAGTTTTTCTGTCTCGTGATTCTCCTTCCACCCGCCCCCTTGCGTGTTGATCTGGTTTATCAGCGCACTCACCCTACTTATGGAAGGATTGTATACTGAAGGTCGCACTCAATTTCTCTCCTTTGGTCATTCCGTCTTCGGTAGGTAGCATTAATTTTGTTCTGATTTAATGTCTATAGCCCTGATTTAATTTGCTCTTGCTGTTGTATTTTTTTCGGACATAGCCTTTTGATGTTGTATCTTTTCTCCTTGATTATTTTTTGTCCATGCCTGTGAGTTTTGGTTGTTCAGGTTCAGGGAGGAGATATCTGTCATTTGGGGATGGAATATGGTGTGTTGTTTGCTGTCTGATATTTACCCTATTTTTTCCTACTTTGGGTATTTAACAGAAGCGCACGATCCCTAGATGGCTGTTACTAGTGCATATATTTAACTTGTTTTGCCAAATATTATTTATTTCTCCTACAAATACCTGGCCCCTTGTGTCTATGGTTTAATTTTCTCCTTGATTGTGTTTCTTAATAGTCCTGATTGTTATGTTGGCAGCTCAAAAATAAACTTTTATTCGTTGTTTAGCTCATGAGATCCTGGATCAAAAAAATTGAAAAGATGCGAGCAAGTATAATATGGTGATTATGGTCTTGTTGTGTGTTGTTAAAATATGACTTCTATTATGACGTTTGCCTAAGAAAATGCACAGTTAGAACTATTTAGTGTAATGAAAGTAAACAATCCATGGAGTGGTCTGCTATTTTATTTGCATATAGGTGCATTCTTGTTTATAATTCCATAAAATAGCCCAGAGTTTTATGATGACACTTTGCTCTATATTTGAGAGTTTGTTTTGCATTTGTCAGAAAATGAATTAATTTTACTCCATAACAACCAACTGGATTAAAGAAAAGTATTAGAGACTCAGTGTGAATTTATTGATTGTTAAACATTTCATCCAGTTAAGTGGATAGCAGAGTTCCTCTCATATACATATATTTAAGAGTAGATGGAAATTAAAACCTCATTTTTAGTTAGATGGTATTCCAGAAAATGATGTCGTATTTAGTTGGAAATGCTTGATAGTGTACTTATTTTTATTTGTACATCGTATAGCTGAGATAATTGATTTCTCATCAACAAATATATAGCTGCTTTCTTTGGTTCTTTTTTGAAGAAATTATGTTATGGCTATGGTATAGCTTTGGGTGCCATTGATGAGTAACAACAGTTTTGGTAAGGAGTCATGTATTTGAGATTCTATTTTGCCTTAGATGACTGCGTGCTCAAAATGTATTCTACAATAGAAACTCCATTATCTCAAGAATGTATTCCTTACCTCTAACTTGCATAGTAAACTCTCACTAAGAAAATACTTTTCAAATAATGATCCTTAATCTCGAGTAAGGCATGTTCTTTGACTCTTTAAGAGGTTTGTTATTTCTTGTTTTTTTAGTCTTAAATGTATATTTGTAACTCAAAAGTCTCTTCTAATTGTATAAACTTGGCTGTATTTTGAGAGGGTTGTATGAAATTCTTATAGGATTTTCATGGTTCTGAAAAATTACAGATTTTCTCTTAGTGGTTATTCAAGTTCTTTTAGAAGTTATAACGTGTTAGGAGACTGCCTGCTGAGTTGTGAATTTATTTATTGTTAAAAAAGGTTTGTCAAAATATTCCAGTTTGAAAAGAGCTTGTTATTAATAAAGTTTTAAAATACAGTTCATAATACCTTATATTGTGTGACCCTATTCCAGGACTAAGCTTATTTGATTACCATTTTTTCTCAGGTCTGCATCTTCCTTGTGCTTGTTTTGTGAGTTGTGATACTCCTGGGCTGCACCAACCTATTTGCATGTGAGTTGTGATTTTGTGCTAACTATCCGGCTCCTCTGCAAATGGCTGCATATTCATGTCCAATTTGTTGTAATATGTAATATCCTAATGGTTGTTAAAATCCAAACTCCTCTTTTGTCTTGTAAAATACATATTGTTGATTATCATTGCCACTTCCAATTTGTTTCATATGATCTGTTCATTGGATGTTGCAAAAATATTGGGGAAGCTGCCTTGGTCATTTCTTTACAATCTGAGACACAAAAGTCATAGGGCTAGGTTTATATTCATTCGGGATCTATTCTAGGGTCATTCCTCGAAAATCAATTCAAAATTTTCTTCCTTGCACTCATAATTATGCTATCTTTATTCTTTAATATTCAATCACTATTTAAAGATCATTCTTTTGGGATTGGGCATATAGCCTCGGCGCATAGCGCGTGACCTGCTAGTATCAAAATATACTCAAATTACAGTATTTATTATTGTCTAAATAATTGTTCAGAATGAAACGAGAACCTTAGGGCTGGACGAAGGTAGTCGTAAAAATGCTTCTTACCTTGAAGAGAATTTGGCAGTTTTACAAATTTTAATTAGATATAAATTTTAAAACACGAGGATAAAAATGATTTAACAAACTCATCATTAGTAAAGCAATCATTAATGCATTTACTATCGTTCTACAATCACCGTCATTTTAGAATAGAACATCGAGTGGCGAGTGAAAACGGCTACTCCATACAGTATGGAAATGAGTGATAGAAGAATTTGCCCTATCATTAAAAAGTAAAAACAAATGAAATTTTAAAATACGGAGAAACTACAATTTAGTCCTTTAGTTCGGTCCTTTTCTTTTGAAATAGGGCATTTCCTATTAATTGTTATGACCAAACGTTTAAATTATCAAACATATTTTTGTAATTTGCTACTGTAACAACATTATAACATAATTCATCATCCGTTAACCGCTAAATGTCAAAGACGACATAATATTAGAGAAAAGTTGAGTTCCCGTAATATTATGTTGCTTTAAATTACGGAGTACTAGTATTAATTTATGTTTTGGCTGATAACGTTGAGGACTACATTGTTATGAATTGTTAAAGACTTTAATATTTGTGTATATTTTCAATTGAAACTCAAATTGGAGTATGTTCAATGCTACAATGTGCACGGTGCACAAGTAGCATGAGATATAGACACATAAATATTACAAAGTAGCAAATAAATTATCTTTCTCCCTATTTGAACGATTTCGAATAATTTTGGTAAATTTCTCTCCACAATGTCAACCACAATGTCAACATCCAAACTGTCTTCTTGACATTGTGGAAAAACACTTACCAAATTATATAAAACCATTCAAATAAGAAGAGAGACAATTTATTTGTTAATATTTATGTGACTATCTCTCATGCCACATGTGTACCGTGCACGTTATAACATTGAAGATGTTCTTATTTTAAAGTTAGGATAAAAGCTCAAAAAATGCTCCTTCCGCCCCATGCATTAAATTCCCTCCATCAATTAGTTGAACCCAAACACACTAAACTGATGACCACCATAGCCCACAGCGTTTCCAGGCTGAAAGCTGGTGCCTTCACTAATTGTCTTCTTACAGAATCACGACTGAATGACATAATGCAGTAGACTAGCCATTCACAGATTGCATAAATTGCTGCACAGACAATTCTGAAAAAAAGAAGTTATGGCATGCTTTGAAAACCAACATTCATGGAAGAACTTGTGGTTGACATAAGTTTATGCTGTCTCTAAGAATTCTTTTACCTCCAAAATGCTGTTCATAAGATGTTTTTTACCTGGTAAATATTTCTTGAGAAAAGGGGGGTTTTCTTTCAGATTTTGATACCTTGCTTGGTAAAGTCAGAAGTATAGTTTGACCAGTGCTACCTTGCTTGAGGGATTGAATAAACTCAGGCAAACAGAACCCTATTTGGTTCTCTCTCTTTTCATGCCAAAGATCAATGCTTTTCCCTTTATTTACTTGGTTTATCTTTCTCAAAGTGTAGCCATTTCTCAACCTTCTGCCACTTCCAGCTTGCCTCCTCTTTATATACACCACAGAATATAAATTTCCCTTCACCAATCAGAAGCAGAACCAAATCCCACCCAACCACCACCAAGCCACCACTTCTCTTTCACAAGTGGCACAAATTAAAGCTCATTGGTTTTGAACTCTGAATTCTTTCTAGAAGTTTCCCCAATCCCCAGCCATAGCCATGAAGGTTTCAACACTTGCCTCCTTGTCCACCACCATCAGCATTCCAAACACTCCCTTCCTGCAAAAGCAAAAACCCATTGATTTTGCTAAGAACAAGGTCGGGCACTTCTCAATTTCAACCACAGAATCGAAACAGAATTTCCCATTTCTCCCGCGCTGCTCCGCAAAGCCACACGCGACGGACGAGGGTTTACTATCCGTACAGCCCGATTCAAGATCAAGACCCGAAGGAGAACCCAAACCCGTTACAGGGAATCAAATTGGTTTTTCTCCAGGTCCTTCGATCTCGAGGGGATTGGTGTTTGATTTGGGATCTGCGAGCTCTTGGGACGGCGTCGAAATCGGGTCGCCGGTGGTGAAGAGGTATTTGGGCGACGAGGAAGAGAGGTGGTACCTGTGGTACCACGGCAGGTCCGGCAAGAACCCGGGTTCGGACTCAATCGGGTTAGCGGTTTCGAGCAACGGGGCCCACTGGGAGAGAGGCGAAGGGGAGGTGAGATCAAGCGGGGATGTTGGAATGGTGATGAGTTGCAGTGAAGACTGGTGGGGTTTTGACACAGAGAGTCTTATGCCCAGTGAGGTGGTCATCATGTCCAGCAACAAAGTCAACCGATCAAACACTGCTGTTTATTGGCTTTACTACACAGGTTTCAGTTCCCAGACAGTAGATTTCTCTGCTGGCAATTCCCTGGGTTTCTGTTTGGAAAACCCAGAAAGGGCATATTTAGGTGCTGTTCTCTTTCCTTTGTTATTAGTCTCAGCATTTTTACCTGTTCTTATTCAAATCAGATAACATTTTTCAGGAAATGGGAACAAGTCCTTAACTAGTGGAGCCAAACAAGGAGTAATGAAGTCATTACCAGGATTAGCTATTAGCCAAGATGGAAGGCATTGGGCAAGAATAGAAGGGGAGCATCACTCGGGGGCTCTGTTTGATGCAGGTCAAGAAGGGGATTGGGATTCTCTATTCATAGCCTCACCTCATGTTGTTTACCATGGGAATGGTGACCTTAGGATGTATTACCATTCGTTTGATGCCGAAAACGGGTGTTTTGCGATTGGGATGGCACGGTCAAGAGATGGGATAAAATGGGTGAAACAAGGGAGGATGATAGGGGAAGGCGGTGTGGGGGCGTTTGACGAGTTAGGAGTGATGAACCCGAATGTGGTGAGGAACAGGAAGGACGGGAGATACATTATGGCGTATGAAGGTGTTGGTGTGGATGGGAGGAGAAGCATCGGGGTGGCGATTTCACCGGACGGTTTGAAGGGGTGGAGGAGGGTGGTTGGGTGCAATCCTGTGTTGAGACGATGTGAAGGGGGTGATGGTTGGGACTGTGAAGGGGTGGGTTCACCATGCCTTGTTCAGATGGATGGGGAAGATGAAGTTGGGCAATGGAGGTTGTACTATAGAGGAGTTGGGAGAGGAGGAAGGACTGGAATTGGGATGGCAGTGTCTAATGGCCGGGATTTTCATAACTTTCAAAGATGGACAGGGTTCCATTTGTGAAACAATACTAGTACTCCGTACATAATATGGTGTCACTTGCCACGTTTAATTTGTTTGGAGTTATACAACGCCACATTGAAGTTGTTCTATTGATCAGTCATGTAGGATTTATTATGTACACATACTAACAACATATATAGTCCGTTTGGTGACCCGTTTTTTCGGTTTACCAGACTTATTAGCCCGATTTTTCACAAAAAAAACACGTAACATTTGATTTCGCGCGCTGAATTTTGTAATAACAAAAAAAGGTTTGAGTTGTTTTTCTGGCTGTATTGGTTGAAGTTACTATAGATAACCATTTTAGCTATTTTTTCATAGTCTTTTATTTAATTTATTAATAACAAATATTTTAAATATTTTTTTTCATGAATCAGCATAATCAGCCAATACAGTCACTTCAGTCATAATTTCATAAATTTTAGCAGAATCAGTCAATTCAACCAATTTTAGTGTTACTGAACGGGTTCATAATTTGTAGATATGATTGTTCACATAAAGTATTACAATTTTCTTACCATCTTAATATACTCGCTAGATTTCTAGAGCTCATCTTTAAACAACCTTTTCAAATGCCAAACAAAGGGACATTTTCTTATTCCATATTTTGAATCAAAGATGGACTGAGACCGGTCCTCACATGCCAAGTATATTTTTACTCATTTTTTATCATAATAAGTCGCTAGTGTTCACTCTTTCTTCATAAATTATCATAACAATAATAACAACAACAATAATACATATAAAAAGTAACATCGATTTAGTATATAAGTATGATATACTCATGTACAGGCAGTGTTCTAAAAGGCGGCAAAAGGTGAGGCCTAGGCGTGAGGAGGTGGAGAAACACCTCGCAATGTAGAAAGATGTGAAAAAAGGTGGTCAACTCAAGAGTTGACCACTAACCCTGGTAACAAATAGGGGTGGACTCGGGCCGGGCCTAGGCCCGACCGGGCCGCCGGTTTTGAATAGGTGGACCCGGGACCGGCTCGGGTAGCCACCGGGTCCGGGCCGGGCCGGGCCGGGCCTCGTGTCAATTTTTTTCCCTTTTCCTAATTACCCCCCCCCCCCCCCCGGTCACCCCAACCCCCCAAACCACCCCAAATGGCCCAAAATACCCAGCCCAACCCGAAAAGTTAAAAAAAATTGAAAAAAAAAACCCGGAGCCGGGCCCGAACCGGCCGGGCCGGGCCTACCCGGACCAGTCACTAGCTGGGCCATCGGGCCGGTTCAGCACACTACCGGTCTCGGGTCGGGCCACCCGGCCCGAGTCCAGGACTAGTAACAAACAACCTAGACCTGGCGGGGCCAACTCCACCAATTGATCATGGATCAACCTAATCAACATTAATACTACCTCCGTCCCCCTAAGTTTGGGACAAGAGAAGGTAGTACGGTTATTAATAAAAGAGGGTTTATGTGGTTGATATTGAATTGATAAAGTAAGAATAAAGTAGGAATGATTTAGAACCACGCAAACTTTACCAAATAAGGTATGGGACAATCTTAATAGGACGGACCGATATGGTAAAATGGGACAATCATAGCGGGACGGAGGGAGTAATAAATTATACTCCTAATAATATACCTATAATTATAAATGAAATAAATATTCTTCATAATGAGAACATTAAAAACACGTGCTATATTCCAAAATACTATTTGTCCTTTTGAAGTCAATCCTCATGAGTCACTGTATCTTTTATTTGCACACCTTTAGAGTCCATTTGGTAACACCAATCATGCTTGTTGTACCCACCACTTTGTACCCACCTTATACCCACCTCTGTGAAGGCTGTTTTTTTGTCTGTGAAGCCGGTTCACAGACAAAATATGTCTTTGAATTCCTTCACAGACATATTTTGTCCGTGAAGGAATTCACAGACAAAAAAATAACTTCACAAACATGGGTGGGTACAAAAGTGGGTATAAAAGTGGGTACAAACATCATTTTCCTGGTACCACTGTATTTCGACTTATCAGGCTTATCAGCCAATTTTTTCACCAAACACGTAACTTTTGATTTCGCACGCTGAAATGTGTAATAAGCATAAAAAGTAAGGTTGGAGTTACTTTTCTGGCTGTATTGGCTGAAGTTACTATAAATAACCATTTTAGCTATTTTTACATACTAGTATAATTTTTTCTTTATTTTATTAATAAAATATATTTTAAAAATATTTTTTTCTTAAATCAGCAGAATCAGCCTATGCACTATGCAACCACTTCAACCAGAACTTTATAAATTTAAGTAGAATCAGCCAAATCAGCCGATTTTCGTGTTACCAAACAGGCTCTTAAAAGTTTTCTTCCTAGAATAAAATGTAGATTTCACATTTTCTATGAAGCTGAGATCATCTTAAATTAAAAATGCTTAACAAAAAAAAAGAAATCAATACAAGCCATTAAAAACTGGTTTTACCAAATCATCTATTCATCCAGGTGTTTTTACAAATCCAGGATTTTTAGTTTTCTCACATTTTCAAATTATCATTGACCAGCCCACTTTTAGGACTGGGTTGCCCGTTTTCACATCAACCCAATCGGCCACCGGGTTAGTCTTGTTCTTTTAGCAAAACTTCTCACCGATTTGCTAATTTGCGTAAATGCGTATATCAAGTCTCACCAAAAATCATTGGTCTAACCACAAAATTATATTCATAGTATAGTCAGTTGTATACCATTAAGGCATTATTATTGCATTAATTACATCTGGAGTGTTCTCATTTGGAATTGATCTATTTGATTTTTTTACTCGTCTGACAGTTTGAGAGTAAACAAATGTGTTCATAGTTTTCATAATCAATAAATAATCGAGAAGTATACTTAGATTAACCTGCAAGTGAATAGAAAGATGCATTTCCTGATTTACAAAAAAAAGGCTCAAAATCTCTATCCCTATGCTATAATGTTGATGATGAAATGAATTTCACCACAAAGAAAAAAGATAGGTGACCCATAAAGTAGTGTGCTATGCCTATCATCACTCACTTGTCCTTGGAATTTCTGGCATAGTTTGAAGATAAACGGGAGTGTGACGGAAAGAAATCAAATGGTGCAGCAGCTTGTCCAAAAGAACGTCTAGTTGCACTTGGAGAGTCTGAGAGAAGAGGCTCGTGTACCGGGCTCCTGTTTTTGGATTGAGAGATTGATAAAGGAGACACGTCTTTCTCTAAGGAGGATCTAGTCGCAGGCGGCTCTATGTGTCCCAATGACAGGATTGGACCTCCGAGACGTTCAGCTTGCTGCAGTATGTTGATTTTGCTTGACTTGTATGTGTATCTAAAGTACTTCAGAGCTAGAACTGGTCCCATTCCAGCCGCAACTATAAGCTGAAATTTCAGGAGACCGACAATGAATTACTAATCATACATAAATCCTTAAAAATATTGCATGATTGAGGGGGTGTTTGGATCTGATTCTTAAAACCGATTCTGCTTCCTGAAAGAGCAGAATCAGAAGCTGGAGTGTTTGACTGAAAGTGCAGAAGTAATTCTGGTGCTCTAATTTACTCTTAGAATCAGTTTTTTAGAATCTGGGGGTGACCAGCTTCTAAAAACTGATTCTGATTCTGCTTCTTTTTTATCAGTTCCAAACACCCCCTAAAAGTGTTATGGTAGGATTCAAACACGTTGTTAAGTCACCCCACATTCCCACATAGACCAAACCGTCAAATACCCGGTATAAAAATATAAACTTACATGTAAGGTACTGAGAAATGTCCTTGGATTATACTACCTCCGTTCTCTTTTATTTGCAACATTGAACTTTTTGCGCTATTCACATGTTCTACTTTGACTACATTTTATTAATTGATGTATAATAAATTAAATTTTTAAAAAATATTGTTAAATTCTTCTTATTCCAAATTTGCAAAATATGATTTTTTTAATTTTTTTACTAATAAGGAATGAAAGATATTAATGGTCAAACTTGTGCGTTGACAAACGTGAAATATTGACTGTTGCAATTAAAAAGGAACGGGGGAAGTATTTTGAGAGGGAATAGAGTTCTGTAACAAAATCTGGTTTTCTATGTAAATCACCCCTCTGTTTACATAATTCAAATAGGGGTTTACTTATGTGTGCCTACGGGCACATGAGAAACAAATGATCAATTAATGAGTTCTTCATACCATGATAAATTACTCTTCATATGATAATGTTAGTCGAACTCAAAATCTTTTGGGATTAAAACTTGGATGTTGTTGTACTCCTCATGATGATAATAAATGTGTTTTATACGTTGTATTACACTTCTTTGCTAGAATAGATCTATTTATTCCTCAAACTTGAAACCTAACTACACTAATTGCTCAAGATCTTGTGCCCATGAGCACATAGGAGCAAAGGCCAATGAAATATATATGTGATCAGCATACCTCAATCACATAAAAAATCAGATGCATTCTTTCACTTCATCCACCTTGCTCTGACTGAAGGGTAAATTTTATTGGACAATGTCAACAGTGGTGGATCTATCGTTTAAACTGTAAGTGTTCATTTTTTCTAAAACTAAAATCAAAAAAGACAATAACTAATTAAACTAAAATTATACATGTATACTAAAACTTTTTGCAAAACAACTAGGTGTTTAAGTGAACACTTTTGCACTAAAGTGGCTCCGCCACTGAATGTCACAATGTCAAATTCAAAAAATGAGTGTCGGAGTGATGTGTATGTTTCGTTGGATGTGTGGAGATACCAGAAAAGACCGCTTGAGGAATGAGGTAATCGGGCAAAAGATAAGATGCAAGAGTCTCGGTTGTGGTGGTTTGGTCACGTGCATAGAAGACCGAGTGATACACGTCCTCTGTTCTAAAAATCGTTCTAGGCGCCCGATTAGTCCCCGCCTAGGCGCTAAGCGGTGGTCGGGAACCCCGATTTTCGTCTAGGTGCTCCGATTAATTGGTTTTCTGTTTAGGTGAATTAGTCTGCCGCCTATGGCGCCTAGTTGCCCGCCTAGAGCGCTTAATCGGCCGCCTAGGCGTCTAATTAGGTTCGCCGAATATTACTTAACTTTTTAAACTTAATTTTCTAAGTGGTATACGTACTTTAACTTTAGCCATGTATATAAAGAAATGAAGTTGTAAATTAAGATAAACCTATATATGTTTGTACATATACTTAAATTTTATCATTAGTTATTTATATTTATAACATAATGAAGTTAATAAGTGATTAGTTATCATATATTATGTATGATTAAATGTGATAATTCAATCATTCATATTGGTTAATGTGTATGCACACATGTATTTTATACACACCAAAATACAATATTACTTATCATATTTATGAAAAAATATGGATAAAAATGCAATTTCTATGTTTCCGACTAGTCCCCGACTAGGCGCCCGCCTAGCCGCCTAGGCGCTAGGCTGGCACCCGACTAGCGCCTAGAGCCTTTTAGAACATTGGATACACCTGTTAGACGAGTTGAGAGCTGGGGAGAACAAGCGGGTAGGAGGGGGAGGGGAAGTCCCAAACAGACTTGGACTAGAGGAATCATAACTGATATGCTTCTTCTTGGACTAGATGAGAGTATGACTTTGGACAGAGCAAAGTAGATGACGCAAAGTGTTATACGTGTGCACGATTATCACTTTTCTTCCTTTTCTCTTTCTTTCTTTCTTTCTTTCTTTCTTTCATCTTTTATTGTATTTATCATTTTTTGCTCATATATTATTTTCATCTATTATTTTTCTTTGTTCTTTATGTCTTTTCTCTTTTATCCATCTTATGTTCTTATGTTATTTTTATCAACAAGTTGACATTTTTATTATAATTACCCTGTTTGAATTTTGAATAATTACACAAAGGACCCCATATGCATCCTACCAATGACGGAATAAAATGAAAGGTTTTGATTAAAAGTCTCATTATAAGAACTTAAGGAGTTCTCATGGTAAGAGGGGTTCTCACAAGAACCCTTCTCAGGGCACTCTTTAAAGTGAGAACTAATATCCATCATTCATTTTTACAATCAATGGTTAATAATGACAAGTTGACACTTTTGTAATTATTCAAGATTAAATGCAAAAAAAACCCATTTGAATTTAGGATAATTATGAATGTGACCCCATTTGAATCTTAATCAATGATTACAATAAATGAAAGGTTGAGAGTAAAAGTTCTCATTTGAAAGTGTTCTCATTCTAAGAGGGGTTCTCATTGGAACTGTTCCTTATATATGTATGCATGTATGTGTATGCATACATGTAGGAAAAATATCCTATCCAACTGGAGGGATAAGAATCGTCGTCCGGCCGCCGTCGTTTGGGGCGGTTCTCGGTGGAGTTTTTGATGAAATTTTGTGAGCATGTTCGTCATCAAGTCTAGTTTGTCCACAAAAAATTTCAGCTAAAAATTCAATTGGAAAGGTAGTCAAATAAATTTTGAAAAAACACTGTATTTTATATGGGGAACGATTTCGATGAGAAAGGACTCTCAGGAGAGAAATGAGAAAATCGGAACCGTTGGATTGTATTATGGGAAACTGTCTTTTACATTTGATGAAACTCAAATCTGCATTGGGTGAAAATGAAATGTGCAGAATAAAAATTAAAACTCGGGATAAGGGTCAGATAGGGCCTCGAACTTGAAAAACAATGTCAAATAAGGCCATATTTAGGATGCTCTGTCCGGCCGACACCATTTAGGGCGGTTCCCGGTGGATTTTTTTGATGACATTTTTTGATAATCTTATTCATTAAGTCTAGTTTACTCATATCAAATTTGAATTAAAACTTCAATCGGGAAGACATTCAAATGAATTCTTGAAGATAACTGTGCAGTTAAAAGCGCAGTTATCTTCAAGAATTCATTTGAATGCCTTCCCGATTGAATTGTTACTTCAAATTTGATATGAGTAAACTAGACTTAATGAATAAAATTCTCAAAAAATTTCATCAAAAAAATCCACCGGGAACCACCCCAAATGGCGTCAGCCGGACATAACATCCTAAATATGGCCTTATTTGACATTTTTTTCCAAGTTCGAGGCCCTATCTGACCCTTATCCGTTAAAACTCAAATGTGTTTACATGAAATTGAAATGTGCAGAATAAAAGGCACAAAAAGGTAACCGCGTCATAGCTTTTATTCTGCACATTTCAACTTCACCTAGTGCACATTTCAGTTTCCCTAGTGCACATTTCAGTTTCAACCAATGCACAATTTAGCTTCACACATAATGCTACTGTGTTGTACCATTTGTGCTGCATATTTCGATTTCACCTAATGTACATTTCAGTTTCACTTAATGCACATTCAATTTCACAGACTACGATCTAACAATCCAAATTCATTCTCATTTCTCTCCTAAGATCATTTTTTCAATTGAACCTAATTATATATATATATATATATATATATATATATATATATATATTTATATATATATATATATGTTATACAATATATATATATACATATATATATATATATATATATATATGTTATACAATACCTCTGATCGTTTACATATATGTTATATATATGTTGAATTTTACACTATTCATGTGCCCAATTTTGACTATATTTTACTTAACAATATATTATAGATTTAATTTTTGAAAAATGTTGTTAAATACTTATCATTTTAAATTTTCAAAATATGAAATTATTTAATTTTTAATAATAAGAAATGAAATATGTTTGCACACAAATATATGTGTGTGTACCTAGCATGACTGCATGATTATTATTACATTCTTTTATCAATCAAATGTTCAGACTGACCTTGATAAGCATGACAAAGGGAGAAGGAAAATGGGCACTTACAAAGACAACAATCCAGTAAGATGGTTGACTACACAGCCGTGACATGATTGTGTACATCCCGGATGATGGCAAAGAACTAAGAACATTGTTGATAAAATAAAATCCAACAAGATTTCCCCATATGGCAATATGTTGCAATAAAGTGAAGGAGCTGTACATATCATAAATAAAATCAGTCAGTTTCTTATATTTCTCCAACTAACTAAATTAGAAGGCAAAGTCAAGTGGTTTTTTCGTCCTGGATGGAAGCTATATTTATTACAAAGCAACATAAACCATACTCAATATGAAGCATTTAATGATAAACACTAAACTGTTACGAATTCAAGATGTACACTTCCAGACGATTCAGGTAAAGGATTATTAATTATTCTTGTTTCATTTTCAAAAAATGAAGGTAAAGCAACTTACTTGGTCTCTATTGCAACGACGAATGCCTGCAACCATATACATCCAGAAAGTGCCACCATTGACATCTCCTCTAATTCGCTCTTCTCAAAAGCATAAGCATGTGTGGTAATGACGAAGACAACAATAGCCTGAAAAGTAACTCCAGGTGTGATAGTACTACATTTTGTCCATTCAAAAAAGTTTCTGTTTTAAACACATTTTTTGTCCCAAGAAAAGTCTTGTTCACCAACACTAATTTTTCATGTATAGGCTAAAAAAAAGTGAAAGACAAGTTACATATGAAAAAATTAGTTAAGCCAAATAAGTTCTTATAATTGAAGTTGATTTAACAATATATTAGCATTCTTACCTTACTAAAAATTAAAGTTGTACTTGGTCAAGTATGATAATCGTGGTATTAAGTAGCACAATGTTTATCTTTATTATATCCTGAGTTCCTGACTGTGTATTGTAGCCATTGCTCTAAATTTCCTACGTTAACTGGTTCTCGGCATCTAAAATTAGAGCATATTTTATCTGGCTTTTGATTTTTTTTCATAATATAACCAATTTACAATATTTTACCTTCAACTATACTAACACATTAGTGGGGGCCATAAGCAACACCCAAAAGTAAGATATCTCATTTCACTTCCCTTGTTTTCCAAATAAAGCACACAAAATAAGAAATAAACATTGAAAAATACTAACCGGAGTACATAAAGTATTACTACTTCCATCCCACTAACATGGGGACATAAGGAGGTGAGAAGGTTATTCAGAAAAGTGAGTTTATGTGGTTGATATTGAATTGATAAAGTAAGAATAAAGTAAAAATGATGTAGAACCACACAATCTTTACCAAATTTGGTATGAGACAATCTTAGTGGAACAGACCAAAAAGTAAAAAATGAGACAATCTTAGCGGGATGGAGAGAGTATATAGTAATTAAGCAAAAAATCTAAAAGTAAGGATCTCATTATAAACATGCATGATGGGCAATGATGAGAGATGATAAGGGAGGGTGGAGTAATAGCTCACTTATTGAGTCTATTATGGCATCAAGCCCTTGAATCTTTTTCTTGTTGACATGTTTGACACTCAATGTACTTGTTAAGACCCGGGGTTCCATCCCAAAAAGTCAACCTAATAGGAGGAGTAGCCCAAAGCCTTATATAGTGTTCAATTGTTTTTATAGCTTTCCGGTGTGGGACAAATGCTTTAACACGCCCCCTCAACCCGAATCGGGCTGGACAATATCGGGGTGTATAAACGGGCCAAACAAACCCTTAACAAGCTACCCTTAATCATGGGCGCTAAATAAGCAGTCAAACCACAACCGGAATTGGCCCTGATACCATGTTAAGACTCGGGGTTCCATCCTAAAAGGTCAACCTAATAGGAGGAATAGCCCAAAGTCTTATATAGTGTTTAATTGTTATTATAGCTTTCTGGTGTGGGACAAATGCTTTAACAGTACTTTACTTTAAAGAATGAGTCTTGGGTTCTCCATATCTTTGAGCTAGCTTTTAAGAAGCTGCTCTTCTTTCAAGGTCCATTAAAGTAAGAAGGCATGAAACATTAGCACTGCGTGTGATTTTAGTTGAGCAATGCAAGGGGTCAAGTTTTCCATCATTTCCAATGGAGCCAAAAATCACATTTTTTTTGGCTAGGGAATATGATGGAATAAAGTAAAATAGCTCACTAAACTGTTTGCACTTCTTTGGTATGAATCATCAGTCAATCCATGCAATTTTCGACGTGATTTTCATCATGGGTCATCCGGAAACAACCTCTCTATGCTGGGGTAAGGCTGCGTACATTCGACCACCTCTTACCCCCACCGCAGGTGGGAGCTTTTGCGGCACTGGGGTAATGTTATTGTTGTGAATGAAGGGGGTCAAGTCATTGTGATTGCGGCCAGTGCAACAATGGTTTTACTTTTGATTGGTTTTGTGACTGACATAGAGATGAAAAGATTATAAGGTAGTTATTACATGACACAAACTGTTGAACATAGGTAAAGAAAGAATGATACTATGTAATAGGGTGAGAGAAATGCAATTCTCCAACTTCGATGACGTATCCTTTTGATCCATCAACAAACCTAATTGATATGAGTGAGGTACAAAAAGTAATTTGGATTCAACAAGATGGGTTACCGAAAGTGATCTGCATCCCTAATTGAAAAACCCAAGCACTATTAGATTGTAACTGGAGCACAAGACGAGTGCTAATGAAGCCCATTCAGGTGAAATTAGAGAACTTTGCTGCGTTAAGTTGAAACTGTTGAATGAATTCCTATTCTTCCTATGATATGCTAATTTGTTATAGCCCATGTTTGATATGCTAGAGCAATAAAACGAGATGAACCCAATAAGAGGAAAATATGAGCATAGCTGTCAATAACTATTTGCAATAATTCTGTCTAGGATGATGGAAGTTTGGTCCATTAAATGAAGCACAAGAAAATTGATTTTAAGATTCATACACCAACCAAATGCGCATGTAGCTGCTGCTGAACAATATATTGCCATGCTAATAAAGCCCCAATGCTATACCATATAACGGTATAACCCCATCTTTACATTTCATTTTCTAGTTTACTACTCTTTAAGTCTCCATCATTCTAAGAGTCCACTCAACATAGCATTTTCTTTACGAGGCACTTATCTCTCGAAGTATTAAACGTGTCTGAGACAACATAGTCAGATTTCACTCAGCTTCTCACCATCAATATACACATCTCTGCTGCACAGTACATACATCTTCACTGAAGATCTAAACTAGGAGTGGGTACGATTGGTTAACCGCATTTTGGTTAACCAACTTTTGGCTAACCACTTAACTGTGATTTCGGTTAGTATATTTATAATACGATTAACTGTACCATGACTTTGGTTAACCGGATAACAAATAACCACAATATAGGTTAACCATTACTTGGTAAACCGAAAAAACGTTTTAAAAACCATTTTACTCATCCAATTTTACTCTAAAAGATTTCAGACTCTCCCGAGAGAATAGGACATAGGCTTCAGTCCCATGAATCACCACTTTTTGCTCGACCTAAACCTATATATTCGCTTCTAGTTACTCCGATAAATTTGATAAATATTGAAGTGTTAATCGTAAACTATATGAAATTGGTTTCTATTGAATAAGAAGAACAACGTTTCTAATATAAGGATATTTATAAACGACTAAACGTAGATAGTCATTTTGTACACATAAATGGGTTTGCGAAAGACTGACAAGTGGGTTTGCAGGTGTAATAATGGAATAATAATAATTATTATTATAATTATAATAATAATAATAATAATAATAATAATAATATATACTACGTATATACATATCTTGTAATATAATATATAAAACTCTATAACACTCAAATACTCAATACATATTGTTGTTCCACCGTACTGGTAATATTTTGAGTGTGACATAGAGTTTAAGTAATATTTTAATTTTGGATATCGGTTAACCGGCGGTAGTTCATTTTAAGAACCGTAACTAATTAACTATACCATGTACCATTTTTTCTTTCAGTTGGTTAACTGTACCACAAGTTTTTTTTAAAACACGGTATGGTTAACCAAAAAAACATTGGATTTCCGGTGTTTTAGTACGGTTAATCAATTACGGGTTTTTATGCCCACCCCTAATCTAAACATTCTGTCATTCTGATCCCAACAATGTTGGTATGATGGTGGTTTAATAAAAAAAATTCTCTTGAGCTTTTGAGACAAATTACAGCGTAGAAGGTTGGGAAGAATAAAATTGAGTCATTTGGATAGGAACATGAAGCGAGCTTAACTTACATGCTGAACTACATTACTACAGACTCCAGATTAGGTGAAGAGCAAGTAGCACTTACATGGAAAAGAGATCGACCAAACCATCCAGCAAAGGTGCTAGGGTTAAGAAGCCTGGTATGAACAAGATTGTACTTCAATTTCAGGAATGGCAAACCCCAACTCACAGATGGATGATCTATTGAACACAGAACCAGAATAGAAGAAAAGCACTCAAATTGAGGGGTGAGGGGGGGGGGGGGGAATCAAACCTTCCAGCTTGGCAGTAAAACAGTATTTGAGGATGCTGCATTACAGTTTTTTCACTCAGATCTTTGTCAAGAACACTGACCAGAACCGGAACGCTTGTGTAGAACACATTATAAGCCATCAAACTAACAGAATTGAAAAGGCTAGTTCCAGAGACACCTGAAATAAATGAGAAACTGAAAGAACATAAAGTTAGCAGCCAATATCATGAAGCACTACGCAAACCAACACGGCACAAAAGAAAGGAACTTACAAAATTTGGATGAAACAAATCAAGAGAGATTTGTAGAAGCAATATTGAGAAAGAAATGCAGTCCGGTTATAAGAGTATCGCCCATGGACAAGTATTAGTCGTTTCAAGAACTGGAATTCTGCAAGTAAAGAATAATAGCAAGATACAGTCATAGCTGGGAAGATTGCAGCCACAAATATATTAATCATTCAAAAGCAAAAATCATGCATTGCTACTGCTTTTTCTACTTTAATCAAATAACGGAGTACAGTTCTGTGCTAAAAGACAGTACAATATGCACACATTTATTTGATAATCAAACAAGATATGCACATCAACTTATTTAGAAGAAATCTATACATGTTACAACAACTTACCCGTTATAAGATAACAACACATTTCAGAAGATTTACTGATCATTTCCAATATGAAAATTTTCTGGTCATTTCCAATACGCAATAAGCTTCACTGGATCAATTTATATCAAACTTTTACCCCTTTTTTGTTTGAGGGATTTTGGAGGGCTGTGGAGGAAAAGGGTGATATTTAATTTTTTATGTACTTCTATATTAGTTGGTCAAAAGAAAAATGGAGGTGAGCAACTACACAAATTGATAGAAATACATGATATACCTAACAAGATCACCGTTTCTTGATCCAACACAAATAAAAAGGGATAAGTTGGTAAAAGCAATATCAACCTTCCCCCTCCACTATATACCCCAGCCCCCCATCAAACAAGCCCTGAGGGTCTAAACTTGAAGAAAGAAAACGGAGGTCTCACTTGCAATACTATAGTCAGCTGCCCTAGCAGCCTGTAATCCTTCTCTCCCACTTATGCCAACACCAATATCAGCTTGTTGAATCATCCTCACGTCATTCCCACCATCCCCTATTGCCAGAGTTCTATAGTCGCAAGATTTTAGAAGTTCAACAAGCTGGAAAACAAATGAAATATAATTGACATGTCAAGTGGGAGTCCCAAAGCAAAGCAGAACATGCCACTACAAAGCCAGATAAAATAGAAAAACTGTTTAAAAAATCAAGGCCTATAAATAAAGGTCCTTGGGGGTTTCCGATCCCCTTAGTGTTGACAGATTTTGGAAAAGAGTACCAGAAATTGGTTGATCAGGGAAAGAAAACCTTTTATGCTATTGTTTACCACGCTCACCACAAAGCCGTGGACGGCTATACATGCTGAATATTGAAATGTTTAGGCTAAAGGGTAATGTTAGCAAACCATCAACCGCTAGATAGTAGAAGCAGCACTATGTAAACAATAAAAAATATTACCAAAGAAGCAAGAAAGAAGGGTGGGAATGGGTGTGTGTTGGTATTAAACTATTAATACTTTAGAATATGAGATTAATAAGCTTTAACACGTGGACGTGAATGGGATGTGTGTGCTTGCCATCCAGCGGTAAAAGTGAGTGAGCTATAACTTATCCAAGGCTCCAAGTCATACAATTCAACAAGTAGCATCTAAGAGACTAAGAGGCAACCTGTGGTTTATAATGTTCTTTTAAGCAGTAAGGAAAAATAATAGTTTTTCCAAAAAATACAAAATTAGCTTCCTAAACCTATAAATGACTACTTTAAGTAAAACTTAGAGGGAAAGAGAGAAGAGGCAAAGTATGTCTCTGTGTGTGTGTGTGTGAGAGAGAGAGAGAGAGATAAACTCGGCCTTGAAATGGTTAATGTGCACATTCTTTACTTATAAAAAGGATCGATGTCGATTTCTTCCCTAAATAGTACTACCTCCGTTCCACTAAGATTGGGACAAGAGAAGGTGGCACGATTATTAAGAAAAATGGGTTTATGTGGTTGATATTAAATTGATAAAATGAGAATAAAGTAAGAATAATTTAGAGCCACACAAACTTTACCAAATTTGGTATGGGACAATCTTAATGGGATTTCCCGAAAAAGTAAAATGGGACAATCTTAGCGGGACGGAGGGAGTAATATAATAAATAATTGAAAATAGAATGCCAAAAGTATTATAGTCAACAAGGACACCTGAGCTTTTTGAGATGGAGTGACACGGCAACATATAGCTGTCTTTGAGAGTATGGCAAGTTCTGTGAAAGCTTTCCGATGATGCTTAAGAGCAATTTCAAGAGCCCAGCCATCGATGACAAATGCTACATCCTACAACAGCAAAACATTAGTCATATTTTTGGAAAATTTCTGTTGAACAACAGCCTTTTGTAACTGTACATCTTCTAGATTGGAGATGGCTTCAATCAGAAGTACTTTTCTTCTTTTTCAAAAGGGTACATGATAGAGATGTCCAGATTACAGAAAGATATCAAGAAATCAAAGTGAACTTTATTAGAGAAGATGAACAAGAACAGTAATCGTAACAAGAACTGGTCGAAGCCCCCAATGAGCAGAAGCCCCCCAAAAGAAAGAGATTAGCCTCGATCTCCCCAAGTCCCAAATGACAAAGTCTAAAACAGCCTCCCCATTACTCCCACTTTACATCTATTTATACTAGAGACCCTTATTACTAATATTATTATTATTACTTCTAATATTATTCTAATAGGTAGGTCCCTAACAATACTCCCCCCCTAAACATCCACCTTGCCCTCAAGGTGGGCGATAGGAGACCGCTATGATCTTCCGCTTTCTTTTCTTCCTTGCGCCTCTTCCTTCCCAGTACTTGACTGGTCGGTGGACTTGTAGCTTCAGTACTTGAACTTGCCAGCTCATAGATGTTTCTGCAGCATATATTATCTCTGGTGAAATTTCATTTTCTTCTTTAGTCTTCAGACTTTCCATATCCACAATTGTTTTCATGCTTTCCTCAACTATAACAGTAGCAGAATTGGTGTTCATGTCCAGAACATCCGCTTTAATCTGCTCATCAGAAATTCTGGAACTACAGATTGTTTCAACTACATTTGAGTTTTCTCCCATTGAATCTTGATTGACCTTCATAATGCTTTTCATCAAAACAATGCCATCCTCTGCTGCACTTTGATTACACCTAACATCATTCCACCTAACAACTCCCATAGTCATATTCCACCAAAATCTCTCTGCCACTGCTTGTTCCTCAAAAGGATAATCCATTTTTACCTGATTTCTTGAAACAAAGAGTGGAAAAACCCAGGTTATCTCTAAAATGGCACAATCTTTGCTAGTATGAAACACCATAGTAACCAAGCAACTCTTTTTGGCTGAGAGTATAAAATCAGCTCCTGCATCACCCAGTACCTCAGTCCTAATTCTTTGGTTCCAACCTTGCCTGTCAGATGAAGTAAATTTGTTTTCTCTAAAAGAACTCCAATCTTTGCGGCTGTTATTCAAACTGGAGAGTTTGTCACACTTGAGGGAACGAGTAATTGCTCCAAATTCAGGTCCAAGATTAACTGAAGGTTTCTCATTGCATTCCTCTTCAGGGTCTGTTTCCTTTACTGAAGGTACAATCGGTTCCACTTCTGTGTTTATTGTTGTCGGTGGATTCCCTGGAGATCCCTTTTCTGATGCGATGACCAGAGAGGATGAGCTGTGAGATCCGGGGATTGAAGAAACCTGCGAACTGGGGACTTTTGCTTGCGTCGAAGCCAGAGGAATGCCAGGAGTTGTTTGCGCACTCAGAAAAAGGGCTTGAGACGAAGAAGGCGAACAGTGATAATCGACTGATGACTTTCTTGGACGCGAATTGATCGCATGTGAGGAAGTCTGCGAAGGGTAAGAAGAACTTCGCGATTGTGAGCTAAAAGAAACAGATAGCGGTTCAGTCTGCGGACTGGTAAATGATAGCGAAGATGAGGATTCTCTTCTCAATCGCGTTTTTCTCGGGCACGAACAAATAGCCGTCGATGAAAGCATTCTGGATTGGGAATTAGAAGAAACACTTCGCGACTGCGAACTGGAAGAAACAGTGCGCGATGGCGACGAACCTTGTTTGTCAGGTAGCGGACGAGACCTATTCTTCCTCGATCGATCTGTCTTTCTGTTTTGAAGTTCAGCGATGCCAGCCTGCATTGCTGTCATCATCGCTAACATCTCATCATACTTCCGATCTATATTATTAAAACTTTCTTCCATTTGCGGTGTCAAAAAATCCTCCATGATTCAGATTCTTGGTCTCCAGGAAATAACACGCTCTGATACCAATGATAGAGATGTCCAGATTACAGAAAGATATCAAGAAATCAAAGTGAACTTTATTAGAGAAGATGAACAAGAACAGTAATCGTAACAAGAACTGGCCAAAGCCCCCAATGAGCCGAAGCCCCCCAAAAGAAAGAGATTAGCTCTCGATCTCCCCAAGTCCCAAATGACAAAGTCTAAAACAGCCTCCCAATTACTCCCACTTTACATCTATTTATACTAGAGACCCTTATTACTAATATTATTATTATTACTTCTAATATTCTTCTAATAGGTAGGTCCCTAATAGTACACTTGTAGACTCTAGTCATCATCACCTTTAATTTCTTAGAAAGCATGTCAAACGACTCAAACCCAAATGAAATTTAGTTTGTGGGAAGGAGGGAGTATTAAATAAGGAAACGGAAACAAATGTAGAAACTTCTCATAAATAGAAAATTCTAAATAGTTCTCACTTAATATCAACCACCAACACCAACATTATCATTATCATGATAGTTCACAAATCTCATTTAACAGTTAACACTCAAGCGAAGTTCTCAATAATTAGTTTCTTTGCAAGGGGCTTAAGTTTCGACACTTTAAGGGCCTATTTGGTGAGCGCTGAATCCGCTGATGAAGTTCAAATGGGGGGGGGGGTATTAAAAGTAGAAGTATTGGGTAAATGGTATGTAATAGTATTACTAGTGAGTTACTCGAAAAGAAACCAAACACAAGGGGTAGAATTTTATCCTCTCCGTTTTCATTTCGATCAAAAACAACACATGGGCTACTTTTTGTATTATCAGTAAATTCAGCCATTTCAGCCTAAGGTGAGGAGGTATGGTTTTATTAGTGGATGTTTTTGTGAATTCAGCTATTTCAGCCGAGAAGTGCCCACGAAACAAGCTCTTAATTACTTGATAGTTTTTGTGAAAAGAATGCTAGATTGGAAAGTCACATAGACATTACACGGAAACTTCATGGAAAATGGACTGCATAAGAGAATAATTTATCAGCCAAACCCTACAACAAACAACAACAACATTATCCCCCCCCCCAGTGCCCCAAAGGCTCCCCACCTACACTGGGGTAGGGGGGAGGGTCAGATACGCAGCCTTACCCCTGTCCTAAAGCAAAACCCTATTGTACAGAAATCACCAAAAAGAATTCTGGAGCAAATAGCACCCCCAAAAGAGGTTTATTTTTTAGCCACAGATTCATTCCTTTCTAAGCAAGATGCTCTGGGATGAAAATGATGAATGAGTGAGACAATTTGTTAAGACATTTATTTTCAGGCCATATGTTTCATGATTGTTTGTTTTCCAAAACTAATTCAAGATTTTGTCCCTAAGGTCTGGGCAGGAGGATATAGAAGATCAGGAGATTTGAGTATGGATTTAGATCAGGAGAGAAGGGAATAGTGAAATATTATCATTAGAGTGCTAAAAAGTTTAGCAGAATGCAGATGATTATGTGTAGATTCCCTGAGTTTATGTCAAACGCAAGGATGTAGATAAAGGAGGAGCATGAATTTAATAATGTCTGACTATTAGCCCTTTAGGTATAGGACTTCTCTACGTGAAACTTCAAAACCGCATTGCAATAACCATAGAAAATAAAGTACACAACGCAGTAAGAGAAAGTAAGAAACATACCCTGGGCTCTGAGTTTGTTATTCTCATTGTCAGTAGAACTCTCTCAAGGCTTTTAGATACTTCATCCTCAGTTTTTCCATTAATCGGTAGAAGTTGGCCCCTAGGTTCTGCAAAAATGAGACTCAGAACACAATATAAAAAAATCAAAATAAATCTAGCTTCTGAAAAAAATATACCCAGCACGGAAGTATATTATTCACTTTCAAAGTCTCAGATAGTGATCTAATTAAAGCATAAGATTAATGATCGACTGATTGTGAACAGAAACCCAAAATGATAATCCTAAATTACCAATGCTGCGTATGTCCCATTATTTGACACTTTTCCCTTTTCCAAAAAGTTGATTGAAATAAAATTATAGACTTCTAGTAGCAAAAGATAAAACGAAAGTGTATGTTACATGGTTAAAAGAAAGACACAAGTACCATTCTGATATGAACAAGGAAACCTTATATTATTATTATTACAATTATTACTATTATTCTTATGCATGCTTTAAGCAGCTTCTTAATTGGCATTTATCTCCTTTTATAAGTATTCCTATTCTGCTCTAAGTAAGTTCTTAGTTAGCGTTTATTTCCTATTATAATTAGGACTCTTGTAATAGCTATATAAGGATCACCAGTATTACTCAATAAACAGCTTGGGAAGAATTAATTTTTGCGTGTCTTGACAGGGTCGGTCACTGATTAATTCTAGCTTAGGATTATTTTATTATTCCTCTCTCATACTCTACTCCAGATATCTGAAAAGAGATCACAACCATGCCCGTAACAAAGATATCTGAAAACAAATTTTTTGCTCCACGAATCCCCAGTTCGCTGCCCCTAGTAGTCTCCAAGTCATTGCTCAAACCAATTATAATTATTCCAATTCTGATTTTTCTTTAAACAATGGCCTGAAATGGATTATCAGGCTCTGCATGTCCCTCAACTACTTTGAAATTTGATCGTTTTGAACTCCAAGCTGTAGTATATTTCGATTCCTTCCTAGACACCATAATGCCCTCTTAGAACTTCAAGGGAAGAATATTTATGAAGGAGGATGCACCATAGATATATGGTACACTTATCTACCATGACATTCATCATCAATTCCACACCCATTTAATTCACAACCCACTTTACTACCCAAGGAAGACAAGCCGTCTCCACATCTGTGGTTGCCAAACCTTCCACAGCGACATCAAATAGTTCCCTTACAGTCAGCTACGTCACTGGAAAAACAGCCTCAAACAACTCCCTTGCCTCCAACTTTGGTGGCACCTCTAGAAAAGCTAAAGACGCTGAGAACTTCTCTTTCTGAACAGTTTGTTACACAAGATGGGCTATATCTACCATGTAAAGGTCACCAGACCACTTCTTTCTATACCACATCTGGTAAGTTATGCTACACCTGTTCAGATAGAAGAGGAAGTGACACTGAAGCATCCTGATGTAAATGCATTTGAGGTTATAAGCCCGTTGAATAGTCCGCAAGAAGGGATATTCATTTAAGCAACATTGCATTGGCAATTTCCCTTGGGCCTAGGGTTGGAACCTATGACACTACACTTGGGATCTAATCTCTTCGGGAAAAGTACCAGGCCCACAATGGAAGGATTTAGTGGCCGCTCCTTGCATCAGCAAGTTATTTTTGAAGGACTTATGCATACGGACCAACAAATCAATTTCCACACTCCATTTTCTAGTTTATTCAGTCAAGAGGCCAAACTAATTACAAGATTGACATGGAAATGTCTAGTCTTTGTATGTATGTAGCCCATTGATTATGCATACACTACAAAAATGTGCATCTGGAGCAATGTGATAAATGTTTTTCTAATCATACCATTTGATCATGGAAAAACGGGCACTACCCGTTACTTCCCTTCAAGCTTGAGGATAAGCTTGATGTCCAAGAGGGGGGGTAATGATATAAGCAAGGAAAGCTTATACTATTACTACTAACACTACTATTATTAGTATGGTTTAGGCAGCTTCTTAATTAGCATTTATTTCCTTTTATAAGTATTCCTATTCTGCTTTAGGCAACTTCTTAATTATCATTTATTTCCTTTTATAATTAGGACATTTGTAATAGCCATATAAGGGTCACCAGTATCATTCAATAAAACAGCTGGGGAAGAATTAATTTTTGTGACTTGACAAGGTCGGTCACCGATTAATTCTAGCTTAGGTTTATTTTATTATTCCTCTCTCATATTCTCTATTCAGTATTCTCTAGATCTGAAAAGAGGTCCCAAGCATGCCCATAACACATTCACACTTTCAAAGTGGTAAAACAACCAGTCTTCTCAGTGTTGAATATCATGGGAGTTAGTTCCTCTTCCCATCATAAGTTTGTTGTTGGTTATATGTGGAACTATGCAGAAAAAGTCGGCCCAGATAGAAACATAGAAAGATTGATCAGCATAAGATACACCTATAAGGCTATAACATAGAAAGATTGATCAACATAAAAGTTACACTCAAATGTTTGACTTAAACTACACTATTACTTTTTCTCCCGCAGCAAAGATTGCACATGTTTCGCTTGACCCTATCTATATATGACTGCAATGACTAATTAGATTCTACATTAGTTAGATATCTAGAATCATTTCTTTCATAGTGATCATCATGAAGAAGTTAGAGCAACAGTTTGGGTTTGTAGCAACAGGGAGTCTAGATTGGTATGTAGGCTCTGTCGCTCTTTACGCAACTTGAAGCAATCCACGATAACTTAGTTTGGCAATCCACGATAACTTAGTTTGGCAATCCAATTCTCTTGTTCATGAGAATAATGAAGTCCAAAGTCGGATTGATTATTTTGTATTCTATCACTATTCAAAGGGATGGAAAATGCATATATAATTCACAGTGTGTTTTCTGTGGGTGATCTTGCATTAAAGAGTATCTCTAAAGTCAGTTCTTAAGTAAAGATTTGTACAAGTTGAGCCATTTTTCTATTTTGAAGTGACCTAATTCAACAACAGTATAGTGATCTCTCAATGGAAATATGTTATGAGCGTGGTTGGGAGATGAAAAAAGAATATCAAAATCAATAAAGAAGTACTCCTCTCCTCAAGGTAAGAGAATGCGGCACCTAATCTAGTCAATACTCCAATAAATAACTCCAAAATTATTGATAATATTATTAGCGAATAGAGCATCTCTATTTGTGCTCCAAGAGTCTTGCTAGACTAATACTTTTATAGCGTAAAAGCAGTCCAAGTGGTGTTATTTTAGGAAAGGGAACTACCTGGAGAAACTAAATTGCAAGACCGTGCAATCTGTATAGCGGTATTTTGCTTGTCACCAGTCAGCATCCAGAAGAATATTCCTGCTTTCCTGAGTGTCTCAATGGTTTCAGGGACAGCATCCTGCAGCACATACGAACTAATTGGATGAAGTGGTTACGTCACATTCTTGTCCGAAAAAATCGCATTAGAAATGCACAATCAAAATTTCAAAAAATGGTGCCAATAAATGAAATCAAAAGATGATGATATCAAGAGTCTTACTTGTAGTCGGTCTTCAATAGCAACAACTCCTAATATCTCCAAGTCATGCTCTAATCTTTGGCAGACCTCAGCCACTCTCCACTTAAAAAATGAAAGACAAAATGACATTGTTGTCAGCATCACCGTCACCTTAATCTCTACTACATTGGGCCAGTGACAAACTGACATAAAATTTAGTGTCAATCCATGATCAAAGTTTAGTTAACACTGAATTGTTCAAAAGAATTAAAACCATTGTCACCAAGTCTTGCACTGGAAGCCCTTCATATCACAAACTAACAAAAGACTATATTAAAGAGCCAGGAAAAAAACCTAGCAAATAAAATGCACAACGGAAAGGATGTTCAGCATAAATAGATAGACTATCTGTCCTATACTACCTGAATTAGTTGATATACATAAATGGATACTCATTAATGCTTTTTGTATAGTTCTATAAACTCTAATTACTACTACCTCTGTCACTCTAAGATTGAGACATGAGAGAGTAGTGCGGTTAATAAGAAAAGTAGAATTATATGGTTGGTATTGAATTGGTGAATGTGAATAAAGTAAGAATGAATTAGAACCACACAAATATTACCAAATATGGTATGATCAAACTTAGTGAGACAGACAAAAAAGGAAAAATGGGATACAGTCATAAAGATAGTGGGACATAGAGAGTAATACTTAATGGAACGGATATGACGATGAAGATGAGGATTGTAAAGAGTACCAAGGTAAATAAATATTGCTACATTTACTGCAAACCTCTCGGTCTATCAATGTGCTGTTAGCCTCTTTAAACATCATGGACCATTCACGATACTCCTCCTCTTCTACGTCACGCCAAGCCAAACATAGGGTTCGCAGACCTAACTGAGAATACAGATCTACAGCCTCAGAGAACAATCTTGTTGGTTGTCCTGACACATTTCATTTTTAGATTCAGAAAACAGGTGCATAGGCTGCTTTGAACCATGTGACTAGTATGCATACTCCAAAGGAAAATAACTTTATACAATGGGGTATGCAATTCATGGATGGACCATGACACCTTACATCCTCGATTTATAACACATTGTAGACTCAGTTCAGTAATTTAAAATTAAGGTTCACGTTCACTACCTGAATTCTGGCTGAAGCAGTGTTACTATTCCCTACCATTAGAGATCCACTAGGTATTTCAAACTAAAAGTGTCACCCCGAGTAAAGTTAAGGATCCAAACAATGCCTTGGAACCTTGGATCTATTGAAGGTGAAAAGATTGGTACTATGTATTTTTATTGTTGAAGAAACAAATGGCCTAATTTATACATAACTTATGGTTTAGATATTAACACACTACTTAATTGAGCTAAGCCCAAATAATAGAATTAGGCCGAGCCAGTGAACCTTATTATTCATCACTCCCCTCAAGTTCAAACATATAAATTAACAAATTGTATGTTCAATGCTTGTTACATATGTAATCAATTTTAGGGTTTAGACCTCTAACTTCTACCATGGAACTTCTTGCAAGTAACCAACAGCTAACTTGTGACCAACCATCAACAGGACTAACTTGCATTTTTCTATTTATCAAAGAAAAAAAAACCATTTTCCACACAGATACCTTGTTTTTCACATCGGATAGAGTAAGAACACAGAAGAATACAAGGAATAGTTTACCCGAGAGAAATATATCTAGTTGGAAGAGAAGCTAGCATTACTATCCAACATAAAACTACAGCAATATAATAGTTTGGCAGAGAAGTATCACCAGTGTATGCACAGGGAAGGATTGCCTCATCTGCTCCTTTTGAGAGGAGAAAGATTTTTCCAGTCTGGCAGTTTCTGGCAACCACAGACATTCTCTTCCTGTCAGAAGTGAACTCCAGAGTGTCCAATACTTCATACTGAATCATTGAAGCATTAAAGTTTATTTCTGCACAGCCAAGCAGAGAGTGATTCGAAAATTTGAACTCAGTGGCAGTAAGAGAAGTACAGATAGTTATCAGCCTCTCAAGAAGTTTCCCTCCCAGACATGTAATAATCACTTAAAGCATTCATACCAAGAACAGTTCCATTCCTGTTGAGTAAAATCATATTTAAGTCAGCAGCAGCGTGAACAAGGGCTTCTTCATCTTGAGACTGTGCCTTATATGAGATTGGTCCAGCTTTGCTACAAACAGCCACGAAGAAGACAAAGTCAGTGATATAAAGAAACTTGCAAGGTACCTGGAATCATCATATTAGCATGTAACTCATGGGACATATAAACAAATGGTTTGAAATGCAAGGGAAGTTGCTTGCCTTTGTACAGGAACCACTGTGTTGCATATAGCCATAACAGTCAAAAATCGGATAACATCATAAGAACCAGAGGTAATACAATTAAGCAGTTCAGCATCTGTATGAGCAACAAAACAAACAGAAGAGTCACTGAGCTAGTCCAATAGTCCTTTTGTAGCGCTCTAGCTGAGCATCATGATTTAAAAATGTCTTTTACACTGGAGGTCTCAAGGAACGACTAATATGGAGCAACCATCCAATTTTGTTGCTCGGGGGGCCGTTTCGGCTTAGACACTCTAGTGTCAAGTGTCAACCCTAAAAATCGCCCTAATTTCAAAGAAAGGAATATCTGAAACCCTACTACACCTGTCTCAAGAACCTGTAGGCAATTCCACCAAGAACTAGTCCAGGAAAATTGAAGTAATAAAATTCAATGTGAATTAGGAAAGTTCATTGAACGTGATCCAGAGAATTAGTGAATTAATAGTAGAGTATGTGAAACTGTCCACAAAGAACTGAGGTAGAGTATGTGAGTTAGTGAATTAGTGAGTATTGAACGTCAATTAGGAAAATTCAACGCGAATTCCTAAAGTTCATTGGCAATTCAAAACATTAACCAATAAAAGATAATTGAAGTAGAGTATGTGAATTAGTGAATAGTGCAAAATTCAACATTTTGCAATTAATAAAGAACGGAGGTAGTATTCGAAAAGAAATAATGAAATCTATAATTTCATATACAGTGAAACTGTTGCGGTATGTTCCATAGGGGGTGAGTCGCAACCAGGTCCTGAGCAGTATTCATTTCTTGAAACTAACATAGAGGATAAGAAGTCAGGACAGAGAAATTGTGGTGAGGAAGCTTTTACCAGAGATAAACATTAGAGTCTAGAGAGGAGTTTTACAAGAAATGAATACTAAATTAAGAACAGAGTTTCACCGAAGAAATAAGAGACTATGCACCCAAAAGAGGCTCTAACACCATGTGTCAAGAAGAAAATAATATTTGATGTCTAAGCAGTTAAGAACTACGCATACTCCCTCCGTCCCATAACATTTTTCCCACTTACCTTTTTGGGATGTCCGGGAAAATTCTTCTCATTTCCTTTTCTGGAAAGTTTTATGTGGCTAACATTCATTTACCTTTTTCTTACTCAACCACAACTATGCATTTCCACTTTATTCCCACTTTCTTAAACTCCGATCCAAGTCAAACAGGGAAGAATTCTATGGGACGGAGGGAGTATTAAATATACTCGAATGCAAAAAATATGCTTTACTTTCTCAATTTTAGCTATGTCCACTATGAATATGGTTAGCATTCAAAGGCAATTTGATCAATGATTAAATAAATAACCCTAGCAGAAATACATCATAGAAAGGGAAAATAAAGTACATAAACTTAAAACATACTCCCTAGTCCCTCCGTCCCTTAAAAGTTTGCCATGTTTGACCGGCACGTAGAATAATAAAGTAAAAACTGTGTGGTAGAAATTTGTGCAGAGGAGAGAGAAATAACATGAGCCACAAATTGATTGATTAAAAGGGAAAGTGGCAAAGTTTTTGGGACAGCCAAAAAAGGAAAGTTGGCAAAGTTATAAGGGACGGAGGGAGTACCTTTTATAGCATCTAGCGTCTCACTCCCATAGTAACTTCCATTAATAAAACATCTTTTAAAAATCATTTCATTCTCAGTAAGTGTCCCTGTTTTGTCAGTCAATATGTATTCGACTTGTCCCAAGTCTTCACTAATGGCTGTGCTGTCAGTTACAAGGAAACAAATATTAATTAGAATAGAATATATATGCATCTCAACCTCCAGGTGAACAAATGAACTGAATAATGTACATACTGTACTGAGAATTTTGGATGTCAATTACTTACTTTGTAGCTTTTGATGGTGTCCCAGTTCTTAAGTCAACCATCTCATAGTCCCAATCAATAAACTTTGCATACAAGCTTTTCACAAGATCCAGAGATACCTGCCTCATCGAACAAGTAATTAATTAAAGCCATTGAATAACATCAATTGCATGCTTGAGAGAAACTGCACAGCTTCTAAGGGAGTGTTTGTGATTGCTTCTACTTCAAAGAAGCGATTTTTTAAAGTGATTTTAGAGAAAGTGCCCAATAGTAAAAGTTGGCAGTGTTTGAGAAAAAAGTGTTTTTAAAAAGTAAAAGTTGGTAGTGTTTGGTAAATGGTGCTTGTTGTGTAATAGAAAAGTGAAAAGCAGTTTAAAGCACCCATGACCCATCCACCTTCTTTCAACTTTTAGCTTTTAACTTCTTAGTTTAAGCAGAAGTTGTCAGTTGAAAAAAACAATTTCAACTTTTTTAAGCTGAAAAACACTTTTTAAGCTTTTGCAAACACTCCCTAATAAGTCAATCTCATGACTCATGAGGAAGTGGTTTCATAGTTTAATTATAGATAGAGGATAGCACACTTTTTCAAAGTGATTGAGTACATAAAAAACATAAAATAAACTAGAAATAAGTAAATAACTCATCATTAAGCCTTGAGTCCTTGACCCAATTAGTTAGGGCCAACAGTGGTGATTGTGTTCACTTAGTTCTTTGATTATGTTTTATTTTTAAGAAACTGCTATCTTAATTTATTCTCAGTTTATCTTTGAATTAGCATCAATTGCAGCACTCTACTCAAAGAATAATCTGCACCACATTTCTTGAAAACAGCAAAACGCTTCAGAAAGCAGCGAAAGTGTGCTTGCAGCTGCATCATTCATTTATTCTATTCTTAAAAATTAAATAAAAAAGTATACTCTTTCCGTCCCAACATGATTTGTAAAGTCAACTTTTTTGTCAACACAGTTTCATTTTATAATTTTATTTACTTATTTAGCATATCAATTCTTTAATATATTCAAATTTGGGTTTCGCGACTTTATAAACTTTCAATGTAGTTTCTAAATATGTAAATTTTAATTATTGAAAGTGATTTAACTATCAGCCGCCGCGTGGATGATTTAGCTTTATCGCCAACCAACTTTAAAACCCGCAAATTGCAAATCAGTTCGGGACAGATGAAGTAAGAAATAATAGCAAATAGAATTATAAAGTGGATCGTTTCCACACATAGAACCGACATTGTTTTATTCAAAAAAATAGGATTCACTCAGTCCCCATAAGGAAAAAATATTTAATAATTCTTTTTCTCGGAGTTAATATGCCCTATTTTTAGGTAAAACAATGATACTCCTACTTCAAAATAGATGTCATCGTGTAGACTTGTAATCCTATCAATTGAATTCTCCAAATTCAAAATTCAAATTAATAGGCAAGACCCAAACTATACAGGATTTGGATATATTATCACAATAGTATATGGTTGAGCAGAAATGCTGCATGTACCCAGCACATAAGACTTATCTAAAAGTGGAGCAATTCAACTTTGTAGAGAGAACTTTTTGCAATCTTTTCAAAAACGGATTCATTAAAGTACACGCGCGCAAAAGAAACTTGATAGCTCGTAGAAGCAACATTGAGAAATAGAGGACTTCTAAGATCAACCTTTATTGAAATTGGTATCATGATGGAACAAAGAAGCTCAAACCGAAGAGGGATGACCAGTAACTCATACCATGGGCCTTCATCTGGATATTGTGCATACCATTGCTACAAAGTACATGTAGTATTTAAATAGTTAGAAAGTTTAGAAGGATCACCAATTAGCAAACAGAAAGAAAAACCAGTTTTGCAGTAAAGAAAATGGACAACTCACTCGTGCCCAATACTAACACCACTCCACCCAAAAACATTAAACAAGAAATAAATTAATATATACATTTATATGCCATTCATGTTAACTGATCCTAAACTTTTAACAAGGCTAGGATGTTGTTGTATACATTGATATGCCAGAAAAAAAAAACACAGTGAGTTCCATGTTAAAGACTCTTTCTGTAACATCTTGAGTCAACTATATTTTTCTGGTGAAAAGCCAACAGAGAATTTTCTTTTGATGTAGCGATATGGTAAAGCTGTTTTCTTTCGTTCTTTATTTACTTCTAAAAGAACATGTCATCCTGTCTGGAATATGATGTTTGATTATTTCATGTGGGAAAGCATGAAAACAAATATACTTGAGAAAACTAACTGCAAACAAAAATGAAGAAGCATAATACAATCTATAACCTCACTGTTTTACTAAGGCTTATGAAAATATGTTTTTGCTTAATTCCTAAGCTAGGAGACCACTACTTTAGTAGGCATGATGCGGAAAAAATTTCAAGCAGAATAAAAAGTTGATAGGAATACAGCTGAAATAAATAAAGAGAATAAATACTCATATGATATAATACTTAGTTAATAGAATAGTAGTGGGTAGTAGTTCGGTTATTGCTATTAACTAATTAGCTTGTACTAAATAGCTATAAATAGTAGAAGGTTAGAAGTAAAGGGAGGCTGTTTTTTGGAGACTTGGTCTTAGACTGGGAAGTTAGAGCTTTGTCTCTTTCTTTTGGGGGCTTCGGCCTTGTAGTTGTTGATAATAAAACTTCTTGAAGTTCTTGATACTTTTCTCTATTTTCTCTTTGATTTTGTTGTGATTTCCGAAGGATTCTAATAGTGGTATCAGAGCACGTTGATCGCTGGAAGATCTTTACGCGTGCTATGATGGAAGGAAGATTGAAAGAGCTGGAAAAAATTCAACGGGAATCAACTGCAGCTATGGCGGCGAATATAGCAGAGATACGAGCAACGGTCGCGACTTTGGTGGAGAGAGTTCAACATTGATCGGGAAGCAAATCACATACGTCGGACTCTTCGCATCATTCTTCGCATCGCAAGTCGTTTCCCAGTTCGCACACGGAGTCGCGGACTGTTTCTTTAGGTTCGCAGTCGCGAAACTCTTCCCTTAGTTCGCAATCTCGAACTCCTTCTCAGAGTTTGCAAAATTCCTCACCGGCCATCAGTTCGCGTCCAAGAAAGACGCGATTGAGAGGAGAATCTTCTTCGTCACCAGAGGATTTTCACTGTTTGCCTTCTTCATCTAAACTCGTTTCTCTAAAGTCCGCTAGTCCAGAAGGTTCAGAAGGTAATTCTGATTACTTACCTTGGCATCAGGAACACAATCATCACAAGGGCCACCGAAGTTATAATGGAACAAGGAGGAAGATGGAATTACCCCTTTTCAATGGAGATGATGTTTATGGATGGATGAATAGGATGGAACGTTATTTCAGTCTCAATGCTACTAGGGAAAAAGATAAGGTTGAAATCGCTGAAGAAGCCATGGAGGATCAAGCTTATAGTTGGTTTCAATGCTGGGAAATTCTAACGAGAGTAAAGAATTGGGAGGCTTTGAAGGAAGCTACAACTAGACGTTTCCCACCTAAACACAGGCGGAAGACAGAAAGCCGAGAACCATCGAGGTCACGAAGATCTTCTCTCAGTTCACTAAAGTCATCGCCAACATCTTCCTTCAGTTCGCAGACTTCATTTGCTACTACCCGTCTACTTAAGAAGCAATCCAAAGGTGAAGTTTCCAGTTCGCAATCTGGAACTGTTTCTTTCAGTCCGGCATCAACTTGTCCCCATCCACAGGCATCTTTAGATACCATCAATTTGCATCAGAAATCAATGCATCAGAAGAATGAGTGGAAATTTTTCACACATTCAGATCTGGAAACGGATAAGAATTATGGTATGAGGCATACTATGGGATATCCACAAGAAGATTCAGAAGGAATGGAAAATGTTGATTCAGATTCTAACTCATCTCCAAAGGATGTTTTGATTGAAGAAGTAAGTCTTACTCTTGGACTAGAAGACATGACACACCAAGTGACAAAGTTAGATGTCAGTGGAGGGTGTAGTCTTGAGGCTCCATCTGGAGAGCCCAGAATTATAGATTTCTTAAATGAGAAGACAGTGGGAAAGTTTGTGGAGCAATATATTGAAACCAAAGAAAAGGTGAAATTGAAACAAGGATTGAAAATGGCCATATCTTTTCCTGGTGAGGTATCTGCTTACCTGCTAATGGACCAACCTTGGAAGTTTTACATGAGAGATAATCCTTCTTGCTCCTTAGTTTGGAGAACTGCATCTGGAAAAGTGTATCTGCTTACTTGCTTGCTAAAGCCTCTTAGATCTTCCTTCTCAAATGAGGTAGGTAAAGAATTAAAAGAGGAAGAAGTTGAAAGGTACATAAAGGAGTTGGCTTCCAGTACAGTATTAGTCTCAGAACATAAAAATCATGAGGAGCTGCAGAAAAGTGAAGAAATAATTTTTTATATGGAGTGCGGGAAGGTGACTGAACCAAATGAAAGTTCTGTGATTTTAAAAGATCTAGTACTGAAGTCCCTAGTCCATCAACCAGTTAGATATTAGGAAGGAAGAGGAAGAAGAAGCAGAAGATTTTGGTTGTTTCCTATCACCCACCTTGAGGGCAAGGTGGATGTTTAGGAGGGGAGTATTGATAGGAATACAGCTGAAATAAATAAAGAGAGTAAATACTCATATGATATAATACTTAGTAAATAGAATAGTAGTGGGTAGTAGTTCGGTTATTGCTATTAACTAATTAGCTTGTACTAAATAGCTATAAATAGTAGAAGGTTAGAAGTAAAGGGAGGCTGTTTTTTGGAGACTTGGTCTTAGACTGGGAAGTTAGAGCTTTGTCTCTTTCTTTTGGGGGCTTCGGCCTTGTAGTTGTTGATAATAAAACTTCTTGAAGTTCTTGATACTTTTCTCTATTTTCTCTTTGATTTTGTTGTGATTTCCGAAGGATTCTATCAAAAGTTAGAGTTGGTCCAGTAAAAATCTTATAAATAGTAACTCTATCAACACTCCACAAGATGTAACTGATAAAGGAAAAATGAATGAGTAATGAAGGAAAGGATGCATAAGTGATTCGCAGCACAAGATATAAACCTTCCTGGCTTCAGTATCTTTCCATACATTCCCAGCTATGCCCAAAACAACAACAACAACAATTTGAAAAATGAATATTGCTGCTGTCAGTTTGTCAATCATAGCATCAACAGCCGTAAGCTTGGGTTCAGGTAGACCCCTGCTCATTCCCAGTTTTGTTTCATTTCCTGAACAGATATTGGTATGGAAAAAATGATAAATTCAGGACTTAGAAAGATGCACACATAAATTGTGTAAACCTAAAATGGCACAGACAGCACGCACGCCCGAAAAATTCAGGATTTAGAAAGATACACACATAAATTGCGTAATCCTAATATTGTTAAAGCAAAAATGCCTCTATTTTTCAGAAGCAAAACTGCAAAAATAGAACTAAGTCAAAAGCCTAAGGTGATCATTTAAACTCTTATTTGTTCTTATTGTCCCTTAAGAGAATGTTATGAAGTGTCAATTTATTTAGCACACACCTTCAATTGGACATATAAGCCAAAAGTATTCCCATAAAGAAAATGTGTGAAGATTTCTCCGCAGCCTCTGAATACTGATGCGAGTAATAAGTAATAACATTGCACTTAGAAGCACTAATGGCTCATAGATCCAGAAGACAATAATACAGAAGTTCTTTAATTCATTATGTGCATATATATGAGAAAAGTTTCCAGTCTTTGATAGGGACCCGGCTAGTTTACACAAGAACAATAGGTTCTTTGGGAAAGTTTATTATAGAAGGCCCAAGAAGACTAGTTAGTTATTAGTTAGATGTTGTTAGTAACTAATAACTACCTTCTATTTGTAGAAGGATATAAATAGAATAAGACTGCAGAGGGAAGGCAGGCTTTTAGACTTGTTGTCTGGACTGGGAGTTGGAGTTCTATCTCCTCTTGGGAATTGTATATGGTTTACCTTGTTGAATAAGATTTCTACAGTTTGAGTTCTTATTCCTGTTCCTGTGATTCATTTGTGATTCATTTGTATACGGTTTACCTTGTTGAATAAGATTTCTACAGTTTGAGTTCTTATTCCTGTTCCTGTGATTCATTTGTATACGGTTTACCTTGTTGAATAAGATTTCTACAGTTTGAGTTCTTATTCCTGTTCCTGTGATTCATTTGTGATTGTGTGTGAATTATTGTATTGTGCTTGTGATCGTATTGTCTGTGCGAGGTATCTATCAGTCTTCCACAGAGTTGTTAAAGACTAAGGTGACTGTTCTTAAAACTTAGTACTCTATCTATTATTTGTGATGGTTCCTTGGAAGCAAACGTTATTTAAACAACAAATACTAAAAGAAAAGTAAATATCCCTCAGGCTTGCAATGAAAGCAAATGAGGCAGTATAAATAGACTGCTACTTAAATTGTAATGAAAAAGATAAAGAAAGCACATACATTTATATAGACATGCATTCTAGTATAACATGCAGGGGTCCAAATTCAACAACAAACAACGATAACATCCAAGCCTTAGTCCCAAGAGAGGTTCAAAATCAACAGAGACCAAGAATATAAAATGTGGTATTTAAAGGGAAATTTCTGGCCGATATGATGTGTAATGATGTACAAGCTGATACCATTGGTTTGCTAATTTAATTAAATGGTGACATTGGTTCCAAATATAACAATCCAAATTACTCAACATTAAAACCAAAAAAGTTCATATTCTTCATTTCTTCAAAGAAAAATCAAATTGAAGGCTCGAAGGTGTCATTGTGATCCTCTCCTATTATTAAACAGATCACCATAAAAATAACTTATAATTCTGGAAGTGAGACATGCCTGTATAAACTGCAACTCCACAAGCCCACTCAGTGTTCCTTAAGTAACACGACTGAAGTATTGTATTTTTTATGGTTAAGGGGCATACATCATTATCAAGAAATGGCGGAAACAGTCTCATATTTGCATAAAATCTCATGATGTCCTTATCTGGATTGGGACATTCAATAACACCCTACATAAGAAAATGCAATGGAGTATTAGCATAAATACATCAACAATACGTATTTAAATTTTGTTCTATTAAACTTCAATAGCTCGCCTTTATTCTGTGCAATAATTCAGAGTCAATTCCCAAGCAAGCAGGAGCTACTGCCCTTGTCTTCAGATCAGTTTCACCATCAAGGGCAGATGTCTACAAAGTACATTGATTAATTAAAATTTTGAAATTTCAGTACTTTCATATAATAATAGAAGTCCCTTTAGAAGAAATCTGCAAGATGAACTTCCAACTGGGATCTACTGTACCACAAACTGGAGCTGGTTGAGATTTGAGATATGATTTTGCAATCATTTCAGAAAATGTGATGCAATCTCTGGCACAGGAATTTTTTTTCTTTATGGACATAACATATGGGTCTATGGTTAACATTTCAGAAGATATTCAGTAATTCAGTATACTGGTATCTTTTACAATTCCCTAAATTTACAGTCTTGAGTGCAGAAATGTCATGGATGGAATATAGGATGGCATTGGAGCATTAAGAATTTCTTGCAAATCACATATATTAGAAGACATTCGCAATGTTACAAAGTAGCCACTACTTTAACATTTTATTATCTAATATTGAACTCAAGTGTTCAGGGCCCAGAGGAGCTGGTATGAACCTTCTGTGGGTTTCTAAGTGTCAGGAAACATACAAGTGGGCATCCTCCTCCAACCAGGCCATTTCTTATATCTCATTGTAACTTACCCAAAAAAGGTTCTAAATCATTTGATACAATTCAAGTGCACAGATAACAAGTATGTGTGTGACCAGGTAGATCAATTTTAATAATTCCACTGAGGATAGTATCTATGGTCAAGTTCCACAATGTGCACCTAAACTTTATAATACCAATCTTGTAGTGAGACAATAGCAACTATCTACACTCATCACTGTCTCATGCTATTTCCCATGCAGATGGGAAAAACTTATGGTGATCGCTGTAACGAATTTTATTGTATTATTCTTTGGTAAGGTCGCAAGTTGCCACATGAAGGACCTCAGATGTAAAACTTCGCAAACATATGTTTTTGCGGTAATATATAATGCTAAGTATCTTTAAGTAATTAATTGACAATATAAATTCCATGCCAACAATCCCAACATAGTCAGGATTAAGGTGGTGGTTGTGGTGATGATAAAGGATCATATCTCAAAAATGATGATAGAGACTTTATTAATCTGAAGAGAGGAGATAAATACTCTAATAAAGTGTATTCTAGAAGGAAGTAGGGTTGTTATTAGTTTAGTTTGTTATGAGCTAATAACTACCTGTTGTTATCCTTCCTTACTATAAATAGCATACTACTGGGTGTTGTAGTTAGGCTGTTTTAGACATTAGTCTGTACTGGGAAGATCAGAGCATTGGCTCTATCTTTTGGGGGGCTTCGGCTCATTGTTGCCTAAGAGAATAAAGTTGCCTTTACGTTCTTGATTCAATTGTATGTTCTGTTAGATTAATCTGCAGGTTCTAACAAATGACGACATAGAATTGTTCACTTTCCCTTTTTTGTAATGCAATAGTTATTATGAGATGCAACTGGAACTAAAGTGATAATAGAGAATGTATAGCCCAAGATAATTCACTCAAGTTTAAAAAAACATATACTTGATCATTAACGTAAGTTTTACCTCCACATAGCAAAGACCTTGTGGATCAGAAGTTCCAATTAAGATCAGATCGCAAGGGACTTCGTCATTCTCCCGAAGCCACACTATGTTACCAACATGGATGTGTTGAGCTTGAATCTAAAATGCAAGACAGATTGAAAAAAAAGAATTTCAATATCAGAAATACTGGACAACATACAAGAAACAATATTTACTACAGATACAACAAACATAATAGCTCCAACATAACAATCAAATTACAAGTATAAGACAAGTTGAGCATGAGACTTTCTAACATCTAAGATAATAAGATTTTAAGGTAACAATTCAGATAGATTATAAAGCTGGAGAATGGTCCAACTGACCAGCTCTGAAGATTTGGGGATCAGTTGAAAGCGAATAAAGTATTATAATAATACATAAAGCATCACAATGGTGTCATGCATCCCAAAGCTTGAATACAATATCAAATAGATAGACTTGAGACAACGGCTGAATGATACTATGATAGCAATGTGCATGAAGGCAGCATCACTAATGCAGTTATCATCTTCTGCTACATCAAGATAATACTGAAGATTGGTGGTTTCAAGATTTATTGCAGCAAAATTAAAACTTTTAGTCCATTTTAATGCAAAGTAGCGGCTTAAGTAATCTAATTGTTGGGATGGACATTATGCATTCTTCATTGTATTAGGAAATAATAGTTTTGCTCCTTGCACTGGTAAGAGAATTCTTACCATTAGAAGAGAACTACTTTACATATTTATTCTTTGTTGTGAGGAAATAATTCTACACCTTTAGTAGACACTAGACAGGATTTGTACTCATTAAAAGGTGCTACCTCTGTCCCATTCTAAGGTTCCCATAGCAAAATGGCACGGTTATTTAGACAATAAATCTTTAAGGTAATTTGAGTATATTTTGAGAAATAATTTTGATAGGTATATAATATACTGTGGTTATTGATGATAACTGTGATGTTATAAATGAATAATTTTTAGTATCTCATGCTTAAACTGTCATTTAATAGTGCTAATTATTTCCTAAAATAGAAATGGGAACCTTCATATGGGATGTCTAAAAAAGGAAAGTGAGAACCTTTCAATGGGACGATAGGAGTATAATATAGCTAGGAGGACAAAACTATGGAATATAACCACTCCCATCACTTTAGAGCTATTTTGGGAAAGTGCAATTGCCTTTCACCACAAAGGTGATGAGGGAAGAACTATACTTCTCAGAATAACTTTGACTCAGAGCATTGACTCTCATTGAAATTCGGACTTCAGTATACAAATATTTGGAAATAAAAAGACTCGGAAAGCCTATTCAAAATATCATGGGGGATGAGAGATGAGAGAACAAGACAATCACAAAGGCAGTATTGTATGGATGATATGAAACATTTACTCATACGTGCTTTTTAATGCCATGTCGTACAACCCAAACTTCTTTCTCATTAGCTTTCTTGTCTGAGAGATATCTATTGTAATCATCCCATGCCTCTTTTGTAGCCGACACTGCAAATATAAAAATAAGGGGCCCCCATGTGCTAGCTGGATTCACTGGTGTTATGAGTGACCATAGTTGAAGGCAAGCAATCAACAAAAAGTATTGGTTCATAAACCGGCTGGAAAGGAAACAGGAAAGTCGTCATTGGAAAGAGAACTCAAAGTGTAAAACAAATGGCAAATGGATGATGAAGAGAAAGTACTAGTCATACCAAGGGGAGTGTTTCAAATATTTAATTCGCAATTAAAAAAATGAACATAATGGATGATAAGAAATGGATATGACATTTAGGTAACTACATATACAGCTTCTAATAATAGGAAACTGCAAAGTGTCAGAATGATAATTCAAAATTCCATAGTTTTGAACCTATTAAGATACTTACAATTTACTTAGTACAGAAAAGGTAACTTAATGATATATTACAGTTCATGAATAGATGAACCCTAAAAGAGTTGGTGAAAGGAAAACCACAGTTACCTGAATTGTTCCCACAAATTCTTTGGAAGAAAGTTCCACAATGTATATTTTCGATTTGATATGCGGTTGTCACAAAAAGTATCTTGTGATGGAGCATCATCGTCAATATAAACAAAACGCTTCATCTTTCATCTACTGTTGTGTGGGCAGCAATAACATCAGTAAAAAAATGGAAACCTGCAACGTTTCAAGCTGATAATAAAGGAACGGCAACATCAACAGGAATCTTTAAAGAATGAGGAAGATAGCCACTGCCATCATAAAGAATTAGTCTTTTACTTCCATTTTTTCCAAACGAATAATGTTTTTAGCAAATGGCAAGGACTGGGATATAATTGTTTTTCAAAACAATGTGCCTGAAGAGCTATATGCCATAGAGACCTTATGTTTCCATAGCTTGACATTCTCACTCTATACCACAAAAGCGTCCATGGTTGAGCTATCTAACTGTCAAATTCAGCTATCTAATATTAGGTCAGCTCGGTCTTTTAATAATTTGCGTACCTAATTTATTTGAGTTATATTAATAAAGAAAGATGCCGAGTTTGGAGGGAGTTTTTTCTCAGGCAGATCGACAGCAGGCGGATTCGGGGCGTGGTGATGAGCTTATTGCAGCTAGACGATGGGCTTCAGGCATTTTCCGTGGAGAGGAAGGGTGGGGCCGACAATAGGGAAGATCCGCGTTCGACAGATTGCAGTGGTTACCCCGTTCGGGACTTCCGGAGGTGAGCTTGATCGATCTTACTAGGTTCCTTAACGAGAGGAAATCTCCACTGTGTTGGTTGACCCCGCCGGGGTTCGTTTGAACCAGCTGTGAGGTTTAAAAAAAAAGGAAGACACTGTGAGTCTGTTTGCAACAGCTTCTACTTTAAAAAAAAATAGTTGCAAACCAACCTTATGACTGGTTCGAGCGGCCTAACCAGTTTTTAAAATCAAATAACTAACTTATTATTAAACGATGACAAAGATATAAGAAAATGAATAGCCTAAGGCTACAATGGGATGAGATATAGAACGGAACAGATACAATGAATACTTCCAGATCGCTGACCACACAATAATGTAGTCTTGTCTAACAGCTCTGCTGCTCTTCTTGCTACTCCAAAGAGAAAATAAAAAATTGCAACTAAAAGATTCGGCTTCACCAGCCACCGGAAAGGGGGGAATTGGTTTGACCAGCAACCAACAAAGGAAAATCAGTTGAGAAAAAAAGTTCTAAAGCATCGATCTGACCAGCCACTGAAAAAGAGATCCAATTGACCATCTTCTTTCCAGAGCGAGGCGGTGGTTCAGGTGGTGGGCGAGCATTTGAATCATCGGAATAACAAGGTTGAAAAAGCTTTACCAAACATGAACAACGAAAATTCACCAGATCGATTACACAGATTAGAAACAGCCAAACTCTAGACATTGCTAGGAATTAAAATTCTCATGAAACATGAAACCAGATCGATTACACAGATTACACAGATTAGAAACGCTCACATGAAACGGACAAAATTCTCGGCCAGTGAAATTAAAAGACCGGAAACATTGAAAAACCTTTTATTCGATCTTTCATTGCATAGAATGTCATCATCTTTCAAAACTTTTTGCTGATTGAAAAAGAGAAGGTCGAAAATCAGATCTTGAAGGAGGTTGGGGATGGCCGCCTAGGGATTCCCCTAGGGTCGTCTCTCCAAAACAGCCGATGCTTTTAACCAGTTTCTTTTACCTTTGTTTTATGAAAAAACTGTCACTTTTGTTTTCGTACTATCTAAAATGGGCGGGGTTCGTTTGAACTTGTGGTTGAGGTTCTATAATTCTAGAAACTGGATGAGACTATGGCCGGTTAGAGCAACTTAACCAGTTTCTTTTATCTTTGTTTTAGGGAAAAACTCTCAATTTTATGTTCGTACTATCTAAAATGTCAATTAGATCCCCGGACTTAAAAAAACAATCAAAGTCTCAAATAGTGATGGACCCGGGCCGGGTCGGGCCCGGGCCGGGTCAAGGCCCGGTCAGGCCTCGGGTCTTGTAATGATAGGCCCGGGACCGGCCCGGGCATTGGCCGGTTCCGGTTCGGGCCGGGCCACCCGCCCAGGTCACGGGTCGGGCCACCCACCGGGCCGGGCCGGGCCAATATTTTTTTTTAATTAATTATATATTATACAAATTCTTATTAAAAACAAAGTTCAAGTGCATTTATTTGAAATAAGAACTACATTTGAGAATTGTGAAAAAAATAACAATACGAAATACATTTTCTAATGAATATCAATTGGGATTTCCGCCACCGTTGGTTGTTGTTTTCCCTTTGTCACAGGACTTCATATGTTTTATTGGCATCCCGTATCCGTATGAACGCCCCAAGCAACACTCTTTCTTGCACCACCTGCAAGTTGCCCACCACAGTCCGGTCTTCGGGTCCTTCCACTTGTCAAAATTGTTTTGCATAAGGGAAGATGTACTTTCCATATTTAAAATGGTATATGTATAAGTAGGAATGTAGGATAATAAGAGAAGATGAAGATGGAGAAGAGTTGGAGAAGAATTGGAGAAGAGGTGTAGAAAAATGTTAGAAAATAGATGTATTTATAGATGTTTTTGAACCCCACTCCCCACACCACCACCCCCGGGACCCCCCTGCCCCCCACCCATAGCCCCAACGGCTATATAGCCGTTTGGGAGGTTTGATTTAATTTTTTTTTTAAGTTATACATATTGTAAAATAAATTAATTAATTTAATGAATTAAGTAAAACTAAAACTATTTGTACTTAACAATTATTGAAGTAGAGTTGTTTTAACAATTAATGAGAATACTAATGAAGTAAATAACTATTATAATGAAAAATGTAACAACAATGCTAATTAACTAATTAACTAATAATGACAAATGTAACAAGAATGCTAATAAATAATTAACTAGTATAATGAAAAATGTAACAATAATGCTAATGAACTAATTAACTATTATAATGATAAATGTAACAAGAATGCTAATTAACTAATTAACTAGTACAATACTAGTTATAGTAAGTAATATATAATATAATGTTTATAGTATATAATATATAAGTATACTACTATAAGATGAGTAATACACTTATCTTTTATACTTTAATATATAAAGTATATATTAAGTAGATGTAGAATGTATGTATTAAGTGGATATAATAATTGTATAAGAATTAAATATTAGAGTATAATGGAGAATTGGAGATTGGAAAATAAGAAAATAAGTATATATAAAATAGATATTATAAAGTATATATAAAAGTAGATATTATAAAATAAGTATATATAAAATAAATATTATTAAGTAGAGAAGTAGATATTATTATGTATTAACTATTAAGTATATAGTAATAGTTTATAAAGTATATTTAATACTTTATTATATAAAGTATATATTAAGTAGATGTAGTATGTATGTATGTATTAAGAGATATAAGTAGAGATTAAGTAGATAAGAAATATAAGTAATATAGTATATGTATTTGTTGGGATATTGGGTCCAGGCCCAATATCCCTAGGCCCAAATCCAGGAAGAAACAGCGGGCCCAAGGCAGTCCAAAAGAACTCTCGAACGGCATTCGGGATAGAATTTATACTTGGAACATTCCGGGAAACAATTATGCCAAATCATCAAGGCCATGTATCGATCAGCGTTCGGGACACTTCCATTAACTAGATCACCTATGGCGGAGATACCGATCGGCGTTCGGGATATGTTCCTAAGCAGGATAAAACCTATGACGGGGTCCCACACACCGAACACCCTGCCCGAACGGGCAATCATCAAGTGGAAGCCGCATTTAATGCTGGATCATGGCAGCAGCAAGTGGGGGCATGGGTGCTTACATGGCAGAGGTGATAGCCTACCAGATTCGACCACGTGTCCACCTTACCCATCCCCATTTTAGTATAAATATCCATGTTTAGATCATTGTAAAAGGTTAGCATTTTAATACTCAGAGCTTAAGCAATAGATTTACATCTTCCACCCTTGTAATCTCGTATTCAGTTGCCGTTCGGGTAGTTTCAGTGTAATTGCTTAAATTACTGAATATAAGTAAGTTCTTGAGTTGAATATTATCTCACTATTTTATATTTTATACACATTTTCAACCCTACCCAAAATCCCTACAATATCCAAGGCTTGTGTTGGGCTTTCGGATCTTCGGGAATAAACCTCAACATTGGCGCCGTCTGTGGGAAACCACACTAAAAGTCCAGGCAAAACCGAGATCTAAGCACCATTTTTTCTTGAAAATGGCTAGACTTACTACCGCGACACAGAGTTCTACGTCCAGAGGCCGAGGAGGCAATAGATCCTCTGAAGGGTGGTCCAGGCAAGGACACGCCAGTGGCAGTGCCACCCGGGAGTTCGAGCAAATCATCCCCCAGGAGGTAAGGATGAACCCTCAGTTGATGAGGGAGATGGCGGAGGCCATGCAACGCATGGCGGACGAACAGGAACGGGGCTACGCCGATGAAACTCATGAGCCACCATCCCCGTTGCGTCCCATGCCATCTTTCGACGAAGAGGAGGACATCGAGACTACGATGGCCTCAGTTCATTCCGAGGAGCGCCGCAGGAACCACTGGAGGGCCCATACCCCCAGACGAGGAGCACCAACCAGCCGAACCCCGTCCGCCCCTCAAAACGGATACAGGGAACCTACCCCCATGGTAGATCCCGTTGGACAAAACTTCCAGTATATCCAGAGGGATGGGGAACGCTTCATCCGGAGGAGGGCTAACATAGCTGCTCCCCCCCAGAACAGAATACCGGAATATACGGATGCTAGAATACCACCCACTCCCCGAACGGCCCAAGACGACGAAATGGCCGAAATGAGGAGACAGATGACTGAGCTCAGGGAGCAGGTCAATCGGGCGCCCCAACAAACCCCGCCAGCACGGGTTGGGATCACCTCTCCCTTCACTAGGGAGATCATGAATGCCGAAATCCTGAAGGACTGCCGTCCCTCGACCGGCTTGGCATACGATGGGGTGGGAGATCCCCACGTGCACCTGAGAAGTTACCAGGGTGGCCTCATGCTATTGGGGGCCACCGATGCGGCAATATGCAGGCTGTTCTTCAGTACCCTTCGGGGACCAGCCCAGGAATGGTTTGGGACATTACAACCCGGGTCGATCGGGAGCTTTGCGGAGCTGTCCACCTTGTTCTTGGCTCAGTTCGCCTCCAGCACCACCCCAAAGTTACACTTCGGGTATCTAACCAGTGTGAGGCAAGGGCCTAGAGAATCAATCTCCGGATTCCTCACCAGGTGGAGGACCGAAACCCTGAAGGTGACCGGCATGACGGATGAGACTGCCATCCTTCTTTTCACCGATGCCCTTCAGACGGGAGATTTATACAGAGAGCTGAAGAGGAACCCGGGGACCAGCTACCCAGACATCCTGGAAAGGGCCAGGAACTATGCGGCTCTGGAGGAAGAGATCAGGATAAGGGACCGAACGGCCCCGCAACCTCCCACTTCAAGACTGGCAGAACGTCTGGGACCCACACCAGCCGCTGCAGCACCTCATCGAAGGACTACGCGCTTCACCCCCCTGGTCATGTCTATAGCTGGTGTTTTCCATTTGGAACACAACGCCATTCCTCCCCCCACTGACACAAGGCCCGTGATGGGACCTACCCCAAGCTCCTACTGCAGATACCACCAGCGCAATGGGCACCTCACGAAGGATTGCCACGCCCTACATATGGCAATTGAGGACCTGATCCAAAAGGGCTACCTGAGGAAGTATGTCAGCACCAACCTGAACGGCCCTTCCCCCAACCAGCGCCCTC